CTAGGATAGGAATGCAGTCTCTGCGCATAGAGGAACAATAAACAAATGAGGACTGTTTTTAGCTTGAAGGCATTTTCATCGTGGCAACACTGCAGATTAGCCTTAATAACTAACTAGAACCATGGCCTACCCTGTATAGCTGTGTCTACACGTCTTATAGGTATATAAATCAATGTGGAGTTGAGATTCAATCTCGCTATTTAGCCAAACACCCCTATCGACTGGCTTTTCACGTGGTCAGGCTAGGTGACGTTATTTACTCGTGGTGTTTAACTATCGTCTACCGCTAACAACAACACTGGCAAATATATATTTGACGTAAATACTTCACCTTGCAGACTTTCGTCAGAGGAAGCGTCCACCGGTAGTGACATTGCAGCGGTATAATGCAGTCTCGCAGATTTAAAGGCCTATATATCAGCGAAATGGTGGCGAAATGCCTGCAAGCAGCTGGAGCTCCAACTACCACAATAACAATGACGCAACATTGTGTTTATCTAAAATGTGATTGGCTTGGAAAGGAGAGCACGCGCGCCACGCTCTCCCTGCGTGTTGCTCATGCGCGTTCACGCCCGCATACAAGGACACGATTTATGACCCACCACGATAAACACGTATCCGAGTTATTTGTGAAAATGTTATGCAAGCAGCGCTACAGAGAAAATGTGCTTATGTCAGCTGACTGTGTCTCACATTTTTGGTTTAACCTTCACTGCAGCAGTTATACACATCTGTCTGCAGAGGGCAGTCATAACTAGGATGACCAGATCCCCCCCCCCCCCATCCCACAGCTTCAGACAATGTCCCACATTTTGACTTGTTCTGCAGGATATGCACTTTTCTAAAGTCTGGCTTTTACCCTTTGTATATGAAGTGAAGGCTTTTTTATTATAGTCAGAAGAAGGTCATCTGGTATAATGCCATACTCAAAAGGGAAAATTACAAGTCACCAAAAAGTCACATGCTTTGCAGAAGGTGTTTCTACACCAATCTGCATTTTATAATTAGTCTACGGCTTTCTTCTATAGGATGCCTTTTGTTTTGTCTCCCTTCCCTCACCCTCTACTGCTCGTGGCAGATGACTGCCCCTCCCTCAGCCGGTTCCTGCCAAATGGGAGTTTTTCCTTCCCACTGTCGCTAACCTGCTCGTAGGAGGTTGTCAGATTCTAACTTGAAAGTTACACAACTTCATAGTGTAAAACTCATAATCAATGATCTTTACTCTTGCATGACTATGTGTCAGTTCCATAGTCTAGCAACCTAATTAAATTAATGCTTACTCGTTTGTACAGTTTTTCTTTCAACCAAGAACTGAATAACAACATGCTGTTTGGGAACAGCTAGACATATATTATACTGTATTGTTCACAATTTCTTCAACCGGCTAGTCCAAATCTGTAATCTCAAATTTGGGACTTGCAAATACAATTATGTTTGTGGACATGGAAATTAGTTTGGCTCATTATTCTTCCTAAATTGCATTACTGTGGGGGCTTATTATTATGGGTAGTGTACTGCTTCCTCGCAGGCAAAGGTTTACACAGTTTACCACATCATTTTAAAACACGGATAAAATACTTTGTTAAAAAATGTTACCAAACAGTTGATATCTTATGAGAAATGAAGTTTGCAAAGGCATGCAGTGAGTGGTGCTTCAGTTTGTGGTGCTCGTGATGTTCCACCTTTTATCTTTTTAACATTTAGCTCTACTAGATGTAGATGTCAGCTAAAAGTACAGAAAAATATCTCAAACCTCAAACTCAGTTCAAACATATTTCCAAATTAAAGTGCATAAATTGGATTTATCAGCTAATGTGTACAGACAGATATAAGGAATATTCACAAAAGAGCCGAGGAAGGAAGTCCCAATTTTGGGTATTCGATTAAACCAGAAATTTGTATCTGGAAACCTATCACTAATCTGTGTAGATAATCTGCCATTTCTATCAGACGGACTGCTTTCCGGGTAGAAGAAAGCCAAATTCCTGTTTGCATTAACTAGACTGCAAATGTATTAATAAATTGTGGTATAAGAAAACCTATCACTAGTGCATGAACAATAATACCTGGTGGCACAAAAACAGGGAACACATCGTTCCACTCAGGTTGCAAGCCAATAGACAGTCTCTACACAACTGTTTATTGTAGACGTACCTGTGAGATCCACTGTTGCCATCAAGGAGAGCAGCTATCAACACTGCAGGCCACAGACACTGCATTAGACTCTAAGGCTGTACAAGCCAAAGCAACATTTTCAGAGACTAAAGAGACCTGAAAATGTGAGACACTGTACTTCATATAAATAAATAAATAAATAAATAAATGTGTGTTCATTTTTTTCTAATTTTGCCATGTAAACTATCCAAACAGTTTTCTGTAATCAATACTTTGCATTGCAAACATTTATAAACATTAATAAAACTATTGCATCTAATATAGATAGCATATTATGTTATCCTTTAATTGAAAAACAACAACAACAACAACAAAACAGACAAGCCTTTTCATTGAGTTAGCCATGCATGCTTTTTACAGACTGAAACTATAATTTTCTTTATCCATTCGTATCAGATTTGCACTTACAAATATCCCATTATAAATCTTAGGCTGTAGCCAAATACCTACATTACGCACAGCATTTAGCTAGCTACTTAGTTAGCATAAGAGTTCAGCTGCGTCTAACACCACTCTAACTGTTTTTTGTTTGTTATTTTGTATATATATATTAAAAATTCCCAAACATACTTCAACACAATGCCTTACCTTTTCTGGAATCTAAGAGATATTTAGTGTACAGTCTAGATTTTTCCAAGCTTGAGAAATGAGAATGAAACTCATCTCAATATCCTCAGGAGTTACTCTGGGACCAGTAGACTAGCTCATTTGATTCCACGTCTCATGGTATTAACAAATTACTGCAGTGGTAATAACTTACTACAAATGTGTTGTTATGCAGCAGTCAAAGTAAAGCAATGATGTTCTTTTTAGACAGATTAAAGCAGCTCTTCATAACTGGACGAGGCATGGACCTCTCCAACATCCTGTTGAAGAGATTCATTATTTTTCATATAAATGTTACATTTTGAAAAAAGCATCTGGAAAAACATTTCAGCTAATTGGAATTAAATTTTGCTTTATTCTTGCTTTATCTTTAAAATATTTTTAGTAAATGACATTAATATTTAACTGGATTTAACTTGGACCTAATCTTCAAATATTACGTGAGATCCTTGGCAATTATTTTTATTGTCTGATATTGCCATCATTCTGTCTGCATGTTGTCATGTTTTTATTTCACAATTAGATACTGTAATTTACACTAAATTACTTACTTAGACTAAACAATTAGGTGCACCCGCTCAATGGCTCTTTATCTAGGTAGCAAATCAAGCAACTCTTAAACTTAAACCAAGCATCAGGATGGGGAAGAAGGGTGATTTAAGTGACACTGAACAGAGAAAGTTGCAAGACGGCTGAGCTGAGTGTTTCAGAAACAGGTTGATCTCCTGGGATTTTCCAACACAACCATCTCTAAGGGTCACAGAGAATTGTCTGAAAGAGAAAATTCCCAGTGAGCTTTAGTTTTCTGAGTGAAAATGCCTTGTCAGTGACACCAAAGAATATCTGCGTATTGTTTGTGACAATGTCCATCACTTTATGACCACAGTGCATTCATTTTCTAATGACTGCTTCCAACAGGATAATGCATCATGTCACAATGCTCATATCATCTTAGACTGGTTTCCTGAACATGACAATTTGTTTACACTGCTCAAATGGCCTCCGCTGTCACCAGATCTCCAAAAGAGTGGCTTTAGGATGTGGCGGAAATTATGTGGGAAATTTGTAGCATGGATGTCCAGTTAGCAAATTTGTAGCAACTGCCCAATGCTCTAATTTCAAAATTAACTCAAATATTCTGATGAATCTTTACAACACCTTGCTGAATCTGTGCCACAATGATTTAAGGCAAAAAGGGGCTCCAGTCAAGTACTGGTAAGGTGTAAGTAATAAAGTGGCCAGTTTGCTTCGTCGTCTTAGAGCCTTTTAAAAAGAGATGAGGTAGAGACTGAGACTTTGCCTATACAGCCACACATCTATCCACCTTGTTATGCCAGTGTATTGGTGTATGGTAACTGGAAGCATATTCAGAGATTAATTGTTGGGTGTCTGAGTGATGAGGACAGAAATTATTGCAAGCTTGATCGGGAGTTGGTGTTTGCATAGTTCACTTATATGTTTGTGGGTGTGTTTGATGACATCATCCGGGAGCATATGATGGTGCTGGCGGAAGACAAGGATTGAATACAATCAATACTACAGACAGGACAAGATGCCTCAGGAAGAATTATGATGTCCGGAGTAGGAAATTTGCAAGAGCTACACTCGGTATCAATGAAGGTGTGCTGCAGACGGTGATGGCACTTTCCCAGCAGGCAGAGCAGCTTGACTTGACAAAAAGAATCAAACTTGTTTTCAGACTCAGACTTTTATTAAATTATTTCTCATTTATGAGGTCACAAATTTGTCAGAACAATAGGACCTAAAAAGCTCACTCTTTCACCTTTTCCATCAATTTGCCCTTCTTATCCTCTCTCACACACACGCACTCATACCCAAAGAGTTCCTTCAGAGTGTACTTTCAAGCACATGTTGTTCATAAAATAAAATAAGTTGCTCTTTATTATCCAAGAAAGACAAAGAGTTGACCCAAAAAATGTGACTCATTTACAAACTGCTGTATAACTACAGTTCTACTCATCATATTGTGTTGGCAGTAAGTGTTCACCTATACTCTGCTTTTAGCATTTATGCAGAGATAAATGCTAACATAGGGGCCACTTCTTGAGCCTGGTTCTATTGAAGGTTTCGTCCTGTTAAAGAGCACTTCCCACTGTCGCCAAATCATTTGCTCATAGGGGGTCACATGATTGTTGGGGTTTTCTCTGTTTTATTTGTGTTGTTGTAAAATATAAATGACCTTGAGATAACTGTTGTTGTTTTTTGGCGCAGTATAAATAAAACTGAATTGAATTGAATAGATAAATGTTAAAAGCAGGACTGCTTTCATATTTCTCATTCAAGTAGCACTTGCATAAGGTATCTTTTGTGTAACTACAATCTAACCATCAGGTACTGTGAAATAAACTCGCATTAACTGAATTTGCTGATGGTTTTGATGAATAATTAAGCAGGGATTTTCTGCTGCAGCTCAATACAAACAGGAGGTAAATATGATTAAAGTAAAGCATGAATTAGTAAAGACTGTGCTGGCCGACCTAAAGAATGAACTTTGATTTGTTGCCATATTTGAAATATTTATTCAACTTCACATTATCCATGCACTTTGGCTGTCTTTATTCCTCGTTGAGGTCCTCTTTTCCCTGGGGTTTTCTTCTGGAGATCAAAAATAGTCTCTAATTACACCAGTCTTGGAAAACAGAAAACACTGGGCTGCAAAGCTATTGCAGAAACGTCCATATTTTTGATTTTCCTCCTACTATGTTGGGTTATCATTTTATAATTTCTCGCAAAGAAAAATGCAGCCATCTTCTGCATAATTAGACAGCTAGAAATATTATGCTTAAAAATATTAAACACATTCAGAAAACTAGGGACTGAAATATTTATTTTGGATGCAATGTGAGCACAGTGAGATCATGAGGCAAATTAAACAGGAGGCTCCTGCTGCTTACATCCCAGAGAATCTAATTTGATTGTCTTGCATCCTTATCAATTCAGGGGGGAGGAAGTATTATATGCCCCCGTGTGCATGATGCATTGTGCTCAAAACCATAATGAATGACCCAACATTCAATTAAAAACACTCTATTCATCACCAGCTATGATTTAAACTTGTTAGTGTGACCTTGATGTTTCTCTGACTCTGTGCAATCCTGCCTTGGCAGTCCTTGTTTATCCAAGATGCACACTTTTCTCAGTGCTCTTTAATTGTCTCTAAGTTAGACCCCTTTGAGATACATGGCCAGCAGCTTTAAAGAGCACTTATTGAGTTGTAAGTGGGGAGAAATTAGAATAAAATGATGGAAGCTGAGCAGAGAGCTGCGTGAAAGTTGTAAGAACTTTCGCCAGAAGCAGCTTATAAAGGATGTCAGATGCATAAATCGCGGTGCTCTGTGGCCTGTAGAGAGGGAAATAAATCATTCTCTCTGCAGACCGTGCAAGTGGTCTTCTGTGTGCATACACTGAGATTAGCTAATGTAAGTGCTTATTTATCTAACCAACCGTCAGTCCCACAGCACGTTGAAAAAACATCCAGCTATATTTGACGCAGTCAACATTTGTCTGTATTTTTGTGATTTACATATAACTCTTGTTATACTTCACGACTTCTACTTTTGCATTAATCTTTTGGCCTAGTAATGTTATGGGCCTCTTGGCATTTAATTTCTCTGTTGCTTGGTGAGTGTGTTAAAAATGTAATTTATGCATCCTGCTGCTCAAGCATAGCAGCAGACTCCAGGAGAATTGTTATTTTAATTAAAGGATGAATTCAGACGGCAATCACTGCAGTTTCATCGTTCAAACCATACTGATGTGCAGCAGTAGAAATATTTGTTTTGAATACTTTATAGTACTAAATAGTTTTTTATGTTTATTTGTATTACTAATACAAGCAGATACCTGTCAAAATGTTTCAAAAGATAATCTATTCTTATTAGGGCTGTTATAGCAGACCCTTTAGAAATTATGATTTATATCGAATAAACCCTCATTACCACAAAGCTTCCATTACAGTGTATTTTTATTTTATTCCTTTTGACAAATTGTTCGTGGGAACATTCGACAGTCAGGTCGATAGTTTGCCATTCCTAATGGATGCTGTATTTTAAGACTCTGAGACATGGCTGAACCCACACATGTGTACCACAGGAATCTCAAAACACCAGAGTCCCAAAGAACAAGCCATGGGAATCACTCTGTTGTATGAGAGGTGGCTGGGGGTGGAAATGTTTGCTAAGTTAAAACAATTATGGATGGCTTATTTACTTTATGTCAGGTTCACAGGCTGATAGTGGCTTGGAATTAGAACTATAAATAAAGGTTTTACTGTTCTGAAAAGTGTGGTTAAATAGCGACAAGACAATGAATGGTGATAACACACCAAGTAGGATAACAACGCATTGATAAGCATGTGTGGATATTAACTTCACAGTGTTTGCAGGAGCCAATCATATTTCTATTGCTCCATGACTTCTGTTTGACTCAGGGGAAGGATTTAATGATATCCTGATATGAAGGACTATAATTCACAATGAACTGAATTAGATATTGTTTTGCCACCCGTACCTCCAAGGCATCATTTTCTCTTCATATAATTGTCTTGTTCATGCATTTGTTGTTTGAGAATAGTTGGTGCTGTGGGGATAGCGTCCTTTGGGTGCAACTTGTTATTATGACTTCCTGCTATTGATTGCACTATACAAAGTATGCATTTTTTTATTGGCAATATTGTAGCATTTACAGTTATCTACATTTCTTAAATGTGTTTATGTTTTTAATTCAATTGGCATAGACAGAGAAGCTTATGTGCATCGATGTGGCATTCCTTCAGCCTGCTGTGAGCGCATCACTAAGGTTCAAACATAATACTTATATGCTTATTTAGACTCCTTTGACATTCTTGTGGATTTACAGTAATGTATAATTTTCACTAGTAATCATTTTCTTCAGCTACTCCATGAACAGTCACGTTGATGAAGCCGTGGCATGTTTATTGTGGTAATGTCTAAGCCAAATGTCTGCCTTTGTATTACCAACATGGACAATTTTGCATATGTTGAGCAGACTCTGTTGCAATATGCTTCTGCTGTCTTCTACAAGCTATTATCTTTGAAGCTAAAAACAAACACAGGATATCAGTTTAAATACTGTATACCAGCATACACACGTAGAAAATGTGCATCATCAACATTGATACAACTTCACAATATCAAAGCTTTAACTCACAGGTTGTCCAAATATAATACGAGCTGTGTAGCAAATGCACATCATGGATTTAAGTATGATTTAATATCGCAAAAACTAACACTTAGTATCAATAAAACATTAATATATAACAGAAAAAATGCCCTTTTCTTTTTCAAATATTCAATATTGTCTAATATTTTCAAAGGTTACAATTACAGATAAATGTATGACCAAACGCCCTTTAGTGTTCGAAATGAATGCATAAAAGTATTTATTACACTCTTCTGTCCCTTTTACAAAGGATCTTTTTAAAAGATTTCCTGAAGTCATTATTGAATACAGTGTATATGACGGGGTTTAGTGAGCTATTGCAGTAACCTAACCAGAAGAACATTTTGAACAGGGTCTCTGGCACACAGCACTTGTCACACACAGCGGTGAGCGTGTACGTGAAAAAAAAGGGGAACCAGCAGAGAACAAACACTCCCATGACTACAGCCAGAACAAATGTAAAGCGCCTCTCTCTGTACAGCCTTCCTTTCCACCTTCTCCCTCTCTCGCGGGACTCCGGCTGTGGTTTTGAAGCGCTTTCTCCGGGATTCACCTGAGTCACTTTTGCTGTTTTCATAGCCTTCTTCTTTGTAAGTGAACATAGGATTGTTTCATTCCCATCGGAAGAGGAGGGTTCTTCCTCCACATCAAGCTCATTAGCCTCTTTACCGTCTTCTCCTCTCACCTCCCTCTGTTCTCTGTCTTTTCTCTCCAGCGTGTCCAAACCGAACTTTGGGTCTTCTGAGTTCCCATTGTGTCTTTGCCTTTCTCCAGGTGGGGCTCTTGTTCTTTTCTTGGCAATCTGGTAGATTCTAACATACACCGTAATCATAATGACACAGGGTACAAAGAAGGAGGCACAACTGGAGAATATGATGTACCATTTCTCACCATTAATGTCACATTCAAGACTGTCTGTTTTGTCCTTTTTCGCTGTGATAAGCGGAGGAAATGAAATGAGAGCTGCCAGTATCCAAACTAAGCAGACTTTGCCTTTAATCCTGAGTGGTGTCCTTCTCAGGTTATACTCAATGGCTTGTGTGACAGACCAGTATCTGTCCAGGCTTATTGCACACAGATGAACAATGGATGATGTGCAGAAAAGAACATCCAAAGCCAGGTAGATTCCACACCATACCTTCCCAAAGAACCAATAACCCATTAGTTCATTCGCTAAAGAGAATGGCATCACTAAAGTGGCAACCAGGATGTCTGCACATGCTAGAGAGACTAAAAATAAGTTCTGAGGTGCTCTCAGGACACGGCTTGTCATCACAGCAATTACTACCATGACATTACCAAACAGTGTTAGCAGGATAAGGATACCCACCAGGATTGTTAGAGGCACAGAGGCCTGCACAGTATAAGGGTTCCTCCCAGGCAAAGTCACATTTCCACTGTTGAAGATAAAACAACCCATCAGAGTGAGCTGTGGTGTCGATGGTATGGTCTGAACGGGGCTCTGTCAGGAGGCTTGGAAGCTGTGCTCCAGCAGTCTATTAATTGCATCCATTCAAGAACACGGCACAGAGTTGAGGCTTTTCATTTTGTTCACTGGAAGAGTTTCCTTCAAAGATATCTATTCTTCTTTTCTCTTTGTCAATTAAAAAATAGAGACCAAAAAAAGCAAGAATTGGGTTTTTTTTTTTAATATAAACTAAAAAGACAAACAAGCAGTAAAAGAAATAAAGGGAACCTATTTATTCCCTGTTTTTCACATAAGATAGTTTTAAGAGTACTAAAAAAAAATCTTTATCCACTAACCTTCAAGAATAAAAGCTTCTGCTAAATCCCCTGGAAGGTTTTGTAAAACAGACTTATATTGCAGGCAGATCTTTTCGTCTAGTGCTGCTGAAGAGGAGCTCATCTTTTATATAGGCTTATCTGACGCTGGGGATCTGTGATGCTGGAATGGGCGGGGCTCATCTCACACTGGACATTTAACAAGAGATTGGGGGTTGTTCTAAGACCATGAAACCACTGGCTGATCGTGACAATAATAATATTGTTGATTTATAGAAACAATATATGTAGTCTATTAAATTAAATTAGAATGGATTAAAAGTACACACTGGGTTTTTCATTTCTGTTCCATGAACAGATGGTGAGATGTTTTAAAGGAAAAATATCTGGATTGTTAGAGACGGTTAAAGCTGCTTATAGAATCTTTTTTTTTCTTTTTCAAATATATAATGACAAGATATCAAAATCAGAGTGAATGAGCTGAGGAAAAAAGCTTAAATGCTTAACCTTTTGTAACTTTCTTCTAATAGCACTACATTTTCAAGCCCAGTCTAATAAATTATTAAACCTATGTGTACCAGGTAGGATACACTGATGTGATGATTATGTTCAGGTTTTACCCACTACCTGTATGCACTACTTTACTAAGTCACAAGCATGCTCACCAAGCTGCATTACTTGTTTCACTTTTAGTTCGCTATGTTTTTCGAAAACAAAAGTGCACACAAACCCAAGGTAATTCATGGCATTAGATTGGATTAAACAGCTTCAATAGTTAAATGTCAAAAAGCAGGTTTGTCAGCTAAATTCTTTATCCTGTGATATGGATAAGTCTTGAGCCATCACTCACTTCCTGATGTTTTGCTTGGGAAATAGATGCAGACATTTAATGAAACATGTAGCTATAAATGAAAATAAAACATTAAAGGAAAAACAGATAAATTAAAGAGCATGAAAATCAATATTTGGTATGACCACTTTTGCTCTTCAACACAAAATAAACTTTCTCCAAATTTTCTTCTTTAAGCAGTCTTCAAGATTAGCTCGTCAGGCTTTCAGGAAGACATTTAAAATGTGTTTGAATGTTGAGGGGTGTTGTGGAAGTTTTTCCATTTAAATAAAGCCTGCAGACAAGCGGTGAGTGGTAGCTAACATTCTTTAATCAACACAAAGAATAGAAAACCAAGCTTGGTGGAGAGCCTGCATCATCGCGGGGCAGACGGTCAGCCACTGCTCTCTCCTTCTTCAGGAACAAAAGGCAGTACACAGCTGTTTCACACCTTAAGGTTCACACTCCCTTGCTACCTCCCACAGTCCACAGGGGACAAAAGACTTTTCCCGTGGAGTTGTCTGCTTCCCCCAACTTCCTTACCAGACCCCCACTCCCTGTCTAACTGCACGAGTGTGAGACATGCTAAATTTCAGTGGCACCAAGGCATTATACAATAAAAATAATGTGATTAACACATAAATAAACGAAATTCGTATACAATCCCACCCTTTGATTCTTAAATCAAACCTTAAGAATCACATTAATAACAGAATTTCTTTCCTGACATTCTGTATATCACATCAACATTATTGTACACTTAAAGGAGTTTCACACTGTGTATCCTCACTTCACTGTTCTCTCACCACCCTTTGGTCATCTTTAATCATGCTCACAATCTAAGCTCTCACATGCAAATGGAAACAACAATGATACAGAGGAAAGGCCCTTTCCAGAATATCAAAGTATGCATGGCAGAGTGAAACAGCATTTTGTTGTCAGTCATTCCCCAGTCACGGTCATGGCTCCTGGTGTCTGTGCCATTTACAGAGTCCTAATTCCAACCCTGATCTTCCTCTGCGCATCTGTATGCACACTTTCTCACAGTGACCTCTGCATTGTGAGCAATACAAGGTCATGAATAACACACTGCTGATAAATTCACAAAGACACAGAAAGTGGCATTTAAAAGGTTAAGTCGGCATGGCCCAGAGTTCCTAGGATTTACCAAGGATGTTGCTGTCACAGTTCTGCTCCTGTGAAAAAGAAACATACATACATACATACATCCACCCTATTGTCACTGTCTGGGTGGAGGTGCAATCTTGCACATTGGTGTCAAGTCAGTCAAGCTTTTGTCAGTCCAGTCAGTTCCCCTTTTTTTCTTTTAATTGCTGATAGCAGAACCTCTCATGTCACATTAAGTTTCTAGTGCCAGCAATATGATGCCATTTCAAAAAAAAGAAAAAGAAGAATTTAGACTGGATTACCTCGCTGAACCTTTTGTGTCCCAAATGAGTGGCTTTTTCCAGAGCCCATTTAATGTGGAGAAGCTCACTTGCAATCGTTTCCCGACGAAGTGTTGTGTAGCGCTTTCAATTCCAATCGTACAGGCCTGCTCTCCTCTTTGCAGTGCTCCAGACACTTTTCAATTCTCCACGCAAGGCAGTCGTTTTTTCTTCCCAGTTTCCTAAACCCAAATTTCAGTTTCCCACACTAAAACAGCCTTCCTCCATGCATCCTCCTGCCCCACTATGGACTCCTCTCCCCACTCATTGTCAGACCAGTGGCAGTCAGTTCTCTTCCAGCTTTGTCCTGTGTTTTCCACTGTCTCATCTTGCCATTTTGCTCCAAAAGTGTCAAATGTCACACTCAGAAAGTCTTCTCAAAGGTCCCTTCACGCACAGTGAAGTTGCAGCTAGTTGGAAACGCATATCTCCATCCATCCATCCATCCATGATGGTTTTTATCTCCATGCTGATGCTGTTTTGCACAACTGCTGCTGGTAGACCTCTCACTGCTCAGGATACTGCCATCTCTTGGCCTGCTGTGAGCTCTTTATATCCATGTCGTTGTTCTGGAACTGCACTTCTTGTCTTCAGGGAGAGATTCTTGGAGCTTGTTTTCTCAGGGTGACAAACGCATGGAAGTTAAGCTGTTAAACAATTCAGCCAAAACTCAGCCTGAGTGTTTCTAACGGTGTTAACCTATAATTTTCTTCCAACTGCTGCACATGGAAAATTGATCCAGGTCTGCTCTTCACCTGCAAGTGACACACTGAGAGACATTTTGATCATTCTTATCACTGCTTAAAACAACACATCTCCTCTCTCTGGTTTTGAACTCTTTCTTAAAAACCCAGAATGGAAAGGCTCTAATGTACAGTCACAATTTTTGATACTGACCAGATAAATTTGAGTTTAAATTAAATTTAGAGTAAAATGATAATATAATAATTATAATATATTTTCCACAACATTTTTAGGAGATCGTGCTTTGTGTCTTTTTTTTAGCAATTCAATTAGAATAAAAATGAGAATAAAACGACCCTCGTAGTATGTGGCAGGGACTAAACACAATCACAGACTTTAGAGGGAAAACCAGCATACCGCAAACCACGGCCTCTCTGTGTGAGGATCTAAACGTATTCTACGCTAGATTCGACACAGCGAACACCATGAGACCGGACAGTGTGCACACCGCGGATGACGTCAGTGCGCACACATTGTCTGAGGAGGATGTGCGGAAGTGCTTCAGGAAGGTGAACGTATGCAAAGCTACTGGTCCGGACGGGATTCCCGGCCGCGTCCTCAAGTCATGCGCGGCTCAGCTGGCTGGAGTGTTTACGCACATCTTCAACCTTTCCCTCTCTCTGTCTGTAGTCCCAGCCTGCTTCAAAATGGCCACCATCGTCCCTGTACCCAAATCCTCCACCATCTCCTCATTGAACGACTGGCGACCTGTAGCCCTGACCCCCATCGTGAGCAAATGCTTCGAGAAGCTGGTCAGGGACTTCGTTTGCTCTGCACTACCTGACTCACTGGACCCTCTACAATTTGCATATCGCCACAACAGGTCCACTGATGATGCCATAGCCCTGACACTACATACTACCCTCTCACCCTGGAGAAGAGAGACACGTATGTGAGAATGCTCTTTGTAGATTACAGCTCAGCATTCAATACCATCGTTCCCTCGAAGCTGGACAGGAAACTGCAGGATCTAGGACTGAGCAGCTCCCTCTGCAGCTGGATCCTTAGCTTCCTGTCTGACAGACGCCAAGTGGTCAGACTGGGCAGCATCACCTCATCCCCCATCACACTGAACACTGGTGCTCCACAGGGGTGTGTACTGAGCCCTCTCCTGTACTCACTCTACACCTACGACTGCACGGCCACTAACAGCTCCAACATCATTGTGAAGTTTGCGGACGACACTACAGTGGTGGGTCTTATCACCAAAGGGGATGAGATGGCCTACAGGGAGGAGGTCAGCGCCCTGACCCACTGGTGTCAAGACAACCATCTCACCCTCAACGCCGCAAAGACAAGTAGACTTGAGGGGGTAGGGACAAATAAGTAAATACTTCAGCCTACTCCTTTTCAAACAAATAATGTAATGATATTTTGTAATGATTGTGAAGGCACATGTTTGAAATAAAAATGAACTGAACTGAACTGAACAAAGGAGTTGATAGGGGACTTCCGGAGGTGCAGAGAAGTACACACCCCCATTACCATCAACGGCGCTGCTGTGGACAGAGTGAGCAGTTTCCGGTTCCTTTGTGTACATCTGGCTGAGGATCTTACATGGTCAGGACACATAAACAAAACAGTGAAGAAGGCGCAACAGTGCTCCAGAGAGTAGTGCGGTGCTCTGAACGGATAATTGGAGATGAGCTTCCCTCCCTCCAGGACATCTACAGGAAGCGGTGCCTGAGGAAAGTGGGGAGGATCATCAAGGACTCCAGTCACCCCAGCCATAAACAGTTCAGACTACTTCCATTGGGAAGGAGGTTCTGCAGCATCCGGTCCCGAACCAGCAGACTGAGAGACAGCTTTTTCCATCAGGCCATCAGACTGCTGACACACGTAGATATACATATACACATTTAGTAATGCATACACTCTTATAATGTACATATATGTAACACCCCTCCCACGTTCTATTGAGAGGGGCCCTGGGTTCCTGTTGTTACTTTCCTATTGATACTCCCTTTTTAATGCTTATGGTATTAAATATGCAATAAAACTACACTATATGGAAATAAATCACACACAAGCAGGTCAATTATAAAGTTAACTCCAC